TCGCCTTGCGGAATTGGCCAGGGATGCGATACCTACCGATACGGTATCCCGATATATTTGTATCCTGAGAAGACGCCACAGGATGGTCTAGACAGAGCAGTGTGATACTGTCACATTCTTACACCCACCCTGTCCGCCATTTGACAAGGTAATGTCTACCTTTCGACTAATAAGATATGTATTGTGTGTCATCGACCTTAAATGAACACAGGTCAGAACGGTAAATGAGAAAATAGTGTGCTGCAGAGAATACGATGAAGTATAACAGGATGCAAACGTGTACTGATTAACACTCTTCCGAATAAACTCACTTTCAGAATAAAAGAGTCTCACAAGCCGGGTTTCCAGACTTCCAGACGAACACACTACCGGACCTATGTTGTCTGAATTAAGAACTCGTAACTTGTAAAGTTATTTCAGCTGTATGTTGAAGCTTTCGAACTTACGAAGCTATATTGCTTTTGTGAGTAAGGGAAAAGTTTTACTGTATTCAATTATTAGTATTAAATTACATTTGTGACGTCATTCCATTGTCTGCTCGCTCCATTACTTTTCAGGAATGGAGCGATGTGTACCAGTTTCAAATTAAAGCCTTCATTGTGTCATTTTGACATTTAATTTTGATAACATAAATATTCCCAATACTTTGAATGTAATTTAAGTAGGGTAATATCCTCGTAACTCTCCATTCCTTAAAAATAATTGCCTTGGCCCCTCCGGGGCCTCGGCTCCATTATTTTTAATGAATGGAGAGATACTCGGACATAACCCTCTACATATAGCCGCGGTGGGGCGTGGGGCGTGGGGCGTGGGGCGTCGGGAGTACAATAAACTGTGTCGGAATACAATAATAATTGTCAAAGTACAATCATCAGTGTAGGAAAACAATAACCAATGACGGAATACAATCACCAATGACGGAATACAATACACAGTAACGGAGTACAATAATCAGTGTCGGAATACGACAGTCAGTGTCAGAATACAATAATCAGTGTCGAGTTCAATAAACAGTGTCGGAATACAGTAATCAGTGTGGGAGGACAATAACCAGTGTTTGAATACAATATCGAGTGTCGGAGTACAATAAACAGTGTCGGAATACAATAACTGGTGTCGGAGTACAATAGTCAGTATCGGAGTACAATACCCAGTACTGGAGTACAATAACTAGTGTTGGAACACAATAACCAGTGTCAGAGTACAATCATCCGTGCCGAAATAGAATACTCAGTGTTAGAGTGAATGAACTGTGTTGGAGTATAATAAACAGTGTCGGCATTGGGGGTAGTCCCACATGTTCGATTCCCTACATGACGCCGATGTGTGAAAAACATACTCACACTATCATTTTCAGCTGCATAAAGTTTTGAGACGTATTAGAACTACCCTCGGGAGATAGATATTTCTCGTGTTGGAGCGACAAAACATTCGTTGCCTGCTTGGCTTGTCAGTCAAGGCGTGATGACGTAATTTTGCGACGATGTCGTATTGGCCACAGTCGGTTTTTATTGACCTCCCATATGTGTCTCTTGCGATGAAGTGTTCACCATCAAGCATATAATGCTTGACTTAGTGGACTGCAAGGGATTCAATTATGATGCGACAAATCTGAAAGATCTGTTTTCCCGCGTGAGCGGGCATCTCATTGTCAACTACCTGAGGGAAGTTGATCTGTATCATACATTGTAACTATGTAATGTGAATAACGAATTGCGTGCTTTTGAATTTAGTGCTATGACATTTTCTGTTGTTGAATAACAATGTAATCAATAGATATGTTTTTAAAATAAAACTCATTTGGACTTTTGACTTAAATTCAGGCTTGATCTCGTCACTACGTGGCTGGAAAAATGCCGATGTGACGTAAACCCAACTCACACACATACATACACACACAACCTATAATCGGGAGTCTTTTACACACTTTTATGTGTTACTCCTCTCAGGAGTAGGTAAATAACTCTAACATATGACCCCCATTTCCTTCGGTTCAGATCACGCATTGACGACCTTCCATCTTTCAGCACCAACCATCCATAGACTTCGAAATGTGTCTCGCCATTCATGAGCTCGTAGAAAGTACCCATAAATGTCAAATGTGTCCATCAAACTCCTATAAACATAATAGTCAATATCTGACAGGTGCTGTGTCTTCTCGGTTACCATTTATAAATGGATATTATATAGGAAAAAGAATGTGTAAACATTTATCTAAATTGGACATGTTATCAAAATAGCTATAGCTATATATATATATTTTAGCTATATATATATTTGTGCAATATATATATATATATATATATATATATATATATATATATATATATATATCTATATATATATCTGTGTGTGTGTATGCATGTTTTGAATATATATATATATATATATATGTTTATCTCCATTCTACCATAACCGATTTAACATCGAACTTCCTCGTCCTGCGGAAGACACGGCGTAATCCGGCATGGGACGAGAAGGCGAATTGAACTCGTCTGTGAAGGGAGTGGTAGGTGCCGTTCGTATTTTGGTTAACATAACCAAAACAAAACTATAAAAAAACCAACATAAAAAATATTCTGTCCAAAGAAAACAAACTACTGTTTATTCAATACAATAATGTAACACTTGAGAGCTTGGTTTTTTATAATCATAACTCCACACGACCGAAACCAGCCTATTGTTTTGTGTGTCGTGTTACTGTACCCCCCTGGCCACACTATAATGGAATCGTCTGACCTACTTATTTTCTTGGAAGTAGACAGTTACGCAACAGTTTGAAATGGCGGACGAGCCAGTGTTTACATTTTGCGAAAGGTTGAAATTCGAAGTGACAGTGGAAAATACTTGACTGACTGTCGAACCTGAACCCTGCAGAATCGAAGAATACATCCCTTCTGATCGACCTATGACCTGTAACTCATCAAAGACTGTTGATTTTTATGACCGGCGAGTGTCGATCATGATTTCACGTACCTGCCTCCACCCCGGCATGCGACGAAAGAGTGCCAGTGCTGCTTTGTGTACATGCGACTAACTTGGGATTCCTTGGAACATTGTTCTCATCATTTTGGACTGGATTGTGGCCAAGCTTTTCAAAGTGTACGAACATAGCAGCGACAGCCTTGCGGGGAAGGTGGCAGAGACCGAAATTCTCGTGGTTCAATTTTTGACATTTTGAACGATGCAAGGGGACATGATGGAGTATGAGTGGCCTAAATTTTGTGTTTCGCCTGACCGTTATCTTGCGAATTTCTTATTCTAAACGGAAACAAATATACCATTTACCAGGTAGGTAAGTGTTTACGAACGTTTTGCCGCACAAATAGGGAAAGATAGGGATGTATTTTTAATTTTTTTACAAGGTTTCCTGATTTATATGTTAGATATTGTTTGTTTATGTTTGGGGCTGTGTATTGTAATTGAGTTTGAATATTTTTATAATAGAAGGTAATAATTATGATAGTGAGGTTCCCTAATAGTTGTGGAGGAGAAATCGTATAATTGAATTTTTCGAGTTTTAATAAATGTTTCATCAGCATTTCCATCAGGTCGATCTGTTGTGTTGATATTAGTCATGCTGGTGACCAAGCTGAAGTAGTGCGGCAGTGTTGTATACGTGCGCAGTGAAGCGCCGTGAAATCAGACGCATTTTCAATCCAAATTGATACCGTCTGATTTTATTGATTGACCAATCAAATTCGAGCATTTCACGTATCCATGGTAGAATGCATTTTTCATCTGGTACCCGATTCTTCAAACCGTTTAATGTAGTAATTGACACTCTCTGAATTCAATACACCTATCATTACGTTTATCGCTGTCGTAGTTTAAACGTGTGTTTATTTCGTGTCCTCAGCAGCAGTGGTATACTCCGTCAAAAGGAATGTCAGTGAGTTAGTGAGTGAGTGAGTTTAAACAGTCTAGATATTAATTAATATTATCAGTATCGATCTCCACAACCAGGATACGCCAGACAGACAATTATGCCAGCATGCTTGACCACCATCCGTTTAGTCTCCCTCCAAGACCTACATTTCTCGGGATCAACTCACTGCAATCCGGGTTGAGTTAGCCTTGTGGTTACAGCATTCACTGGTCACTCAGGTCAAAAATATAATCTCATAGACAGCCATATATGCCCCTATGATAGAGCATTCTGTTGACATTATCTCCGAAAATGTATGTAATTTTGCTTCACCGTTCAAATGGCTTTGGAACAAAATATAATGATGTTTTGCACATTGTCTCAGAGTAAAATATTACATTGCTTTGAAAATGTTATGCCGTACAAAATAGAGCATAGAATATGTAGTATAATAAAAATGTTCCAGGGGCATATGTCCCTTTAAATACCGTTAGTGTATTTGTCAATATATTTATTTGCAAAACATCCCGCTTCATATGATACCCATTCTTAACAACTGACATGGCATGACAAGGTCACTGAATTATCAGGCATGTACGTTGGCAGAATGAATTCGAAAAAGAGCTCCTACCACATCAGTTTTGTTTTCTAATTTTTTATGGAACCCAATATTCAACAATATTCGACATTCTTCAACTGACCCTCGAAGATCCGGGTTAGAATTGGTCTTCTGCAAGCATACTTGACGTAAGAGGCAACTAGCGGGATCGGGTGGTCATGCTCGCTGATTTGGTTGTCTGACACATGACACATATCATCCTATCCAAATTGCCTCGATCGATGCTCTTGCTGTTGTTTGAACACCAATTCTAACCCGTATCTTCACGGGTCTCGTTTCTCATGTCAGCATTAAACAATCATCGTATCCAATACCTTGTATTCAAATATAGTTACTAGTATATTTATAAAGTGGGCAAATCTGGAAATAGACATCGGCACTTTCAGACCATAGCACAAATACTCAAACGTCTCCGATAACAAAATACTGATAGGATGCAAGACATTTATTTGTAGACACAGCTACAGGCATTATCCTATTATCCTGCTTGCTTCTTGCTAACTTTTTGTACCGTTAGATTTTGTACCGTTTGCATGGAGTGACGGCATCTTTGGCCCAAGTCAGGGCGTCTTTGTCGTCGATGCTCCTGTAGTGATTATAGCCCGAAGAGAGCCGCCTTACTGCAACCTGATCCACTTGCGATGTCACTGTCACTACAAATACGTCAGCCTGTGAGGTCAAAAGCCTGAATGTCTTGTGGATACTCGGCCCGCCATTGGCTCTTCCATCGGTGAACATCAAAACAACGTTTTTTGCATCTGGACGATCACCATTGGAGGGGTTGAAGACATCAGATGCTGCCAGCTTAACACCATCACCTAGGACCGTGCGTCCACCAATGCCATGTTGTGCAGCCATAGCTGTTAACACGTCAGATTCGTTTGTGTATGCATTCAAGTGGAAGCCAATTTGAGCCTTTTTCGATACTGACATAAAGGCGACATTTGTACCTTGAGGACTTATGTCAAGGCCGCTGACAACTTCCATACCAAATTTCTTCATCTTCAAAAAATCCTGCTTAATTACTGAAGTAGATACGTCCTCTATGATGAGAAGATCCAAGGGGTATGGTGTGCATTCTGAAATACATCAAAACGAAATATTAGTATTTTTTTTGATAATGCGTCAAATACTCGAGCCCAGGAAAATAGCATTTTCACGAAGTAATTGTTTGAATTGGTCACCGATTCGTAAAACCAGATTTATCACTGTCCAAAGACCGCTCATCACTGCCTAACTTGCCTGATCTCAGGAGCACAGCTCCGTGACAGATTTGAAATGAATTATCTAGTCTCCTCACATGAAGCCATTACTGGCACACATACAAGCGACATAGTATTCCAAAATGTCAAGGATCACTTATGGTGGTAAGACAACTTGAGATGAAAGTTAACTCATGGTGTCTGTGTCACTTGAACATTCCTGAATTGTGTCCTAACCTATCTCATGAGTATATTGAAACAGAAAAATATTTCGACTCAAAGATATTGCTGTATAATGATTTTTCCCAAGAGAAAAAAAGACTTTTGCATCGGAGTATTAACAAGGAGTGAATCCAGCGTGATATTGTCTGGCATAAAATAAGTACCACCATTACCAACAGACAGAAGCCATAGTCTCACTTATTTCTGAATAAGTGTAAGAGCCTGAACAGTGATTGGCGCCATTTAAAAATTCTATGTATCTGATGTTATTCAGAATACAAAGAGGCGGCTGTGTGTGTTATGCTGGAACTTAATCGTGCTCTGTGATATTAGTTGTCATATAAAATATTTCCTTTACATGGAAACAAGAACACCTGTAACAATTAACAAGATCTTCAATTAATGATAATGCTCAAATGATATAGTTTAATATTTATTATGTAACGGCTCTGTAACGGTCAGCTAGGTGGTGATCAATATATTGACGGATTCACTTGTTATACTAATAGTTATGCTGAAGTAACATTTCTACAAGATGGTTTTACAGATTTTTTTCGCCTGTTTTTTTGGAGTTAGGCAAGGCTGGCAATTGTCTCCATTTCTTTTCTCCTTTTTCATCAATAACATCGTTAAGGTCTTGAATGAGGATGGCCAATAGTCCATTAATATTGGGTTGAAAGAACTATTCATATTGTTGTTTGCTGATAACATCATTATGTTTGATAGTAGTGGTAGGTCTACAGAAACGATTAAACAAGTTGTCACTTTATTGTGATAAGTGGCAGCTTCTGTTTAATAGAGATAAAAGTAAAATAATTATTTCAGAAACGATGGTCTTGTCAGAGAATGCGAATCCTTTAATCTGAAAGGCGAGTGCTTACCACATATAAATACTTGGGTGTACATCTACACTGTATCGTGCTTCGGATCGTGGTATCAAACGCAGAATATATTAGCTCTTCAAGCAAATGAAGTACTACATTGTCTGAAAACAAGTATATCTCACTTTGATAGATAACCTTTACACGTCCTTTTGAACATATTTGACATTAAGGTCTTACGTACGTTGTTGTATGGTGATGAGATCTGGGGCTTTCATGCCCCGCCAGATGTGCAAACCTTTTACGACCGTTTCTGTAAACAACTTCAATACCCCGAAAGAAATGCTCCCAATACTGTATCAGTTATTGTTAGCAAACAATGACATCAAGTGCTGGGCTTATCCTGTGAAGTAATTGTTATATCAGTATGGATTTGTCACTGCCTGGCTTGACCAGAATGTTGACCAGATCAATTTTTAGTTTGTTTTAAACAGAGATGTACTGATATTGACCAGTACGTGTGGCTGGATAAATTGTCACAGTACTCTGAACTAAAACTCTATAAAAACCAGTTTATTCTTTGAAAGTTATCTTTCCAAAATAACTGTTAAAGTGTATAGATTGGCAATGTCTTTCATGAGGTGCTCCAGCCATAGTGTTATGGTAGGGAAAGTGAGACAACTGGGTATCAGATGTGAAGAGAGGCTGTGCCGTCTTTGTATTACTCCAACAATTGAGTCCGAATATCACTTCTGTATGGAATGGCCATTTACGATTATCTCAGGCAAGCCCTGTTATTAAAATATTTCTGTCATTATCCAAAGTTACACAAGTTCCATGCTCTACTGCCCACGGACAATGTAGCACTATTGACTGTAGTATGGAAGTATACATTTCTTGCGTTAAAGAAATCACAATTTTTCTTGCACTGAAAAACACGCCCTGGAGACTGACATATTCATTTTAATGTTGAATGTACGACTGGCGCTCACGTCAGAAAAGCTATGCTATAGAGCCTTATTGTACAATGGACCGATGGCCTCATTACTGAAAGTCATTCATTCAATATTTATTTTATAACAGCAATCAAGTGACAGTTATCCCGTGACATTTACCTCCAGTAGTAATTTAGCATGCATAGTTTAATTGTGAACAGTGAAATTATATTTGATATACGTTTTCTTTTCTGTACAGGAGCTGCGTGTTGTGCTACGAGAGAAACCATTCGCTTGTCCAATAGAGGTGAGGTGAATTGGGTTTAACGTCCTGCTTGAGAATATTTCGCTCATTTGACGACGTTCATGTGTGTGTATGTCTATGTGCTGCTGGTTGTATAGTGCTAGCCCACTGAGATACCATGCCGCAGTGAAGCATGAATACCCCACTCAGACACATTATACTGACTCTGAGCCGACCAGTCCTTGTTGTACCCATTAATGCCGAGCGCAAGGCAGGGACCAACAAGTACGATATTTTAACGTCTTTTGTTATGACGCGGTCGGGGATCGAACCCGCGACCTTCCGCTCTCCGGGCGGACGCTCTAACCACTACACCACGGAGGCGGTCTATGTCCAATAAAGGGGTTCAGTGACACAAGCGTTCAAGAACATATCTAAACTATTACAGAGAATGGAACTAGTAAGATCATCATAGCATGTAAAGACATTAAGAGATATATTTGCCATCCACGACACTGTCTTCATACAACTTTGTAGGATGTCTATTTAAGAACATACCGAAGCAGTAAGTGACGAGACCATTCAAGTGGAAAAGTCCATAAAGCGTCTTGTTTCTTTCACAGGTCACTGTTTGCACGATGGATGGTGAAAAACATGCACCAGGGAAGAATGACTCGCAGATAAGCATGAGATCTCCGTCTGTCGCTGCAAACAAAAACAGTCTATCTCGAACCATATTACACTTTATCAAATTGTTTGGAGTTCAATAGAAATATGATAACATTACTCCCAAATATGATTGTATTCAGAAATTGCTCGATGGTCTGTTAAATTATGCCTTTTGTGCTATAGTCTGCTGATTCCGTATAACCGGCCTGAGACACTATTGTAATAGTAATGTACATACATTCAAACGTGAGAACAAAAGTACGAGGATATTTTGCTTATCATTGTGTTGTCATTAATATAAATGTACATTTGCTTCAATTAAGAAATCATTGTGTGAATAGGGTTATAAGTTATGCTTCACATATTGCCACATTTAATATATGACCACTTGAACAAGTATTCAGATTGTCTGACATTCCACTGTGATATATGACAGTTCTTACAGTCAAGAGATCCAAGAATGAAAATCTTTAACTAACCTGCTAACAATACCGTGATTGTATTGAATACATATGACAGCATCAAGCAGTATCTCGTTGATCTGTTTATAAGTCGAAATCAGCAATATTTGCCTACATGTTATATCTGGGATCACACTTTTGCGGAAAAAGTCAAATTCTTGTACTTTTTGGACTGAGTTCCATCCAGTTCGAAAGCCCAAAAGTACTAGAATCTGTACTTCACCGAGGAAGTGTTATAACAAATATAGCATATGTTGCATTTGACCACTTTCTTAAATTCGTGGTGTATTCGTGCAATATTTTGGCAAATATACCGCAGTGTATAGTATGAAAGTGTCATTGGTAAACCTTAATACGATTTGCAGAATGCAGTTAATTTCATTTCACTCCTACAAAGAATTCTTGTAGTCCCTTCATAATAATTATAAGTTTTGCAATACTTTATAGACCATCGTTATTTTATGTTTGTCGAGGGATATAGACAAAGTCCGTTGACTTCGGCCACTGTGAAAACTAGATATTCATGACTGTATGTTCCAACCGTTTGAAAATGGATAACAGGGGTGCATTTGTCGAGTGATATAAACAATATCTGGTCTCCTTAGGTACTGTGAAAACTACATGATCATGATGGTAAATACAAGCAGGTATCTAACTCAGTGGATAACCGTTTGAAAATGAATAACAGGTTCATGTTATCTTGTTATCCTTCTCAAAGAATCTAAAGACGCTAATGGACAAAAATGTAATTCAAGCTCATAAAGTGAGTGAGTGAATTAAATTTATAGTCACATCGGCAATAGTTCAGCCATATTGTGACTAAAACAGTTAATATGATAACAATAAATAATATATAATCTGTCGACAAAGGACAGTAAAACATCTAGAATATCACAATTTGAGGTATTAATACTAGCATTTAACTTAAAAATATATGACTATTAGGGACAATACAAAATAAAAATGGGCTAGAGATCGCCAACAACTGAAGGTAGATCACCAGGCTCATAAAGGAAGTGCATAAATCATTCAGAGGTTCTTGAAATTCAGGTACTGTATATATGCATAGTGTAAGTGTTCTAAGCGAGTTCTATTGAAATTAACTAATTCTAATACACTGCACATTGAGTGAGTTTATATTTGGCTGCTGATGGCACTGTAAATGTGCTGGAAGTAAAATCAAAATGTATAGCTACATTTAATTACTGCTCTGTTTTGGGTTGTATTGTTGTCAATCCGATATAGGTATTACTTAATACGAATAGTAATATTTATTTCAAAATTCATCTGTATTTCAGAAGTGCAGATACTGTATTAAGTGAGTGAGTGAGTTAATATTTAACGTCACATCGGCAATATTTCAACCATATTGTGACGACAAAAAGTTATGTACTAAGAATAAAACATGTATACTTATTTAAAAACCTGCCAGCGAAGGACAGTATAACGACTAGAATATCACAAATCGATTAAAACTAGTTTGAGTTCAGTGTAAAATGTTAAATTATTTCAAAACAACACAATATAAAATCGGGCTATAGATCGCAAAACATCTGAAGGTAGATCACCATACCAGGGACCATGGGGACTTACAGTACCTTTGCTACCTGCATGGACCCTAGTTGGATTTACACCATCCCTTCAGCTGCTGGCGATTGTAGGAAATAATCAGCAAACTTTAAAAGAACAACATACTACGTTTTAAAAATCTGGTAAGTTTAAAACCTGCTTTGAAAGTTTTGGGACTTACGTACCCTCTCAGGAGGGATACTGTATTAAGAGGCCACAAAGTTGAATACAGACCTTGGGTATATAAAGAAAATTCTGTTCCACATGCAAAATTTGGATCACTAGCAGCCATGGTCCATCCTTGGGGTGCTTCATACCAGCCCGGAGCAATTGTATCGTTGTAACTATGGGGCACCGTGTTACTTGGAGACCTGAGATCCATGTCGGGCAATATGCCGTAGTTGTGGCAAGGATCTTGAACAAGCAAAATGTATTCATGATGAACAATTCGTTGATAAACCCACCACACTATGGTTAAGAACATACATTGACCCCAAAAAGAAATAAATTTACTCGCATCACAAAAGTTAATCATATATGAAGGTTATACATGCATAATACTGTCCTAGTTAAGTACTAGTTGTACTATAATCTTCACATTACTTTGGAAATAAATTGAACATTCTTAAAATCAACTGGCTGAACAAACGACCCTTATTAATCGTGGGTGATACAAATGAGTGAATGCTGAATAACATCGTAATATTCAATATTTCAGCAACTGTGGTGGCCTGTAAATAACAGATTTAGGAAAGCCTCAGGAAAAGAGAAACCTGTAAATCTGTGACACATCCATCCAAGTTGAACCGAACGGCTGTCCGATCCAGTTTACGACACGCCATGGAATACTGGGGTTCACACAGGTTTCACCAGTGGGAGTCCCACAGGGACACAGTTTCACATGAATCACAGAAAGTGATAGCGTGATCAATAGAATGATAGGTTAAACATGTTGACTGAAGTGATATCATAGCAACAATCCTACAGAGCTTTAATATATTACCATGTAATAATCCTTTTTCGACCCGTGAAGATTTGAGGATGAGCAACCAGTATTGTTAATAACATCATCGTCGAAGTGCATGTTATTTTGTAATCATAAGTTAAAACTCATCGAAGAATTCTTACCTCCTTGACATGACGGACCTGAAAACCCTGTAGGACATCGACATCGAGGGCCGTCACGTTTGGAAATACATGTGCCTCCATTTTGACATGGATTGAATCTGCAAAAATCGGGTTCTGAAAGAACAAACATTACAGTACGTGCAAGAATGCCTTGATCTAAATGATAGTAAGCATTACATGTCTTAAAACAATTTAGTATATTTCAATATATTGAGTAAACCACATCAAACGCAACATGCGGTAATGGAATACACAAATCGCAGGGGCTACCTAGTACAAAATTGCACACAGGAAAGAAACTCCACCTAAACTCCTGCCATAAAATCCACAATCGTATTCATTTAATAAAACTTATTATTATTAATACAACATTGCGGTTTCGCTGCACTTATGCCATGAAGTAATTTTATCGGTATTGTCTAAAATTACATTCATTTACTTCACATTGCAGGATTAATTTAAACATACTTACGAAAACAGAAGACACTATCTTCAATATGGGTTCTCAGAAGGTAGGTTTCTCTACCCTCGCAGGTATGGGTTTCTATCTCCATTTCATGGGCACATGTGCTGTTCTCATTCTCGACGCATACAACTGATATGTTGTTTCTTAGTTCTACAACAGATTATTTACAGGAGAAACCCCATTATAATGTTTGGTTTGTTTGTTTGTCGTTATACCTTGTTATGTTTAAAACCACACTCTGCAATATTACAGCTATATAGCAGCGGCCTGCAAATAATCGATTCTGGACCAGACAATACAGTGATCTACGTCAGGAGCATTGATTTTTAATGACAGGTGTTAAGCAAGTCTACCACCCGTTAGTCGCCTCTTACGACAAGCATGGGTTGCTGAAGACCAATTCTTACCCGGATCTTAGTTGGTGGATATTGTTTGGTAAGCATGAGAAGACGTCACTGGCATGAAGGTCATTATACCTAGAACCATTATACCCTTCATATTTCGTTGTGTAATATAAAATATTATTCTTGCGTCTTGATAAACAATTAACCACTGTCCTGTTGGTCAATCTTGACAGGAGTGAACAAACGCCACACAGAAGCCAGATGAAATAAAGCTTTTGGTAGGACATCAGCTGTTTGTACAGACCTTCAGCAGGCGCACTCTATTTGTCACCAGCCCGCTTGTCGTTCCCCATACCAACTGCATTCTCAAGGTAATAGTAATGGTAATAGAACTAGTCCGCTTATATGGCGCTCATATCCAGGCACATTGCCTGCGCACGGCGCTTTGTACATTACTATCCCCGGTCATAGGACATTATCGTACTTCCGATACGTTTTCAACTACCAAGGGAGCATACAGCCATGCTGCCTGTTAGGCGCAATGAACTCAACACTCACATTGCCAGCACATCCTCACGGGTACCCATTTTAAGGCTGGGTGAACTAAGACAATGTGGATGTAAGTATCTTGTCCAAGGATACTACACAAATGTGCCCAACTCGGGGCCCGAACCAAGGTGCCTCCACCGCGGATCGAACCCGGGCGTTCAGCGTGATAGGCAGACGCCTTACCACTGCACTATTGCGCTCCGGTCAGGAGGGCCAGCAGGGATAGCAGGATAGTTTCTCCTGACAGCATGAACAGACTTTCCATGACTCAGCCAACGAGTGTGGGCAGCCTTTTTGATTGTCACATTACATGTGTCTGTATCATCTGCAGTATTATCCATTTCTCTAGTCAATGTCTGCATCTGTTCAAGGCTCTTGGATCTTACAGTACTGACACTGACAGTGTACCGCATGGATGAAAGAAGAAGTATAGTATCCCAGGAATTATTGAGAAAGTTGTTTTAGCAAATATCTAATACATGTATATAAACTATAGAAGTTTTACGTAAATGAATATGTTGAGATATGATTATCTTAAGTCTTTTCAGTACTTCGTGACTTCTTTGAAAGGCATATTTAGAAGTTGTATAGGTGAAGGAAAACCATGTTCTATGGACAGTCAACTGACACCGTTATCAAGCAAGTGATACAAAGAGTTGTAACAAGGAGAATATACAGATAGCTGCATAGTGAGTATATACAATTGACAAGGTTGATATACATTGGATTGCTAATTAGTGATTTGAGTAGAGTAGTCATCAGAGCACACATCGCAGTAAAGAAGTTGACTATCCATAAAACTTGGTTTCCCTTCAGTACTTTGTGAGACCTCCTTGCCCTGCAATATGTGACGGAATGCGCCTTGGTACACTTCCGATCAAAGTTAGGAAATCGTGTGACAGCGTATTCTAATATTCGACCACTTCTTTCTTCATATCATCAATAGTTTTAAGTCCTTTTTTGTATATGTTGTCCTTCATTAGTCCCCACATATTCTCAATAGGGTTACGATCTGGGCTGTAGCTGGGCCAATCTAAATCTTGAACATTTTCGTCAGACAGCCACTGTTTTGTGTAGCTTGCAGTGTGTTTTGAGTCGTTAAGATGCTGGAAAATCCAATTATCTTCAGACAAGTGTTCGGGCACTTGGAAGGAGGTGATCATTTAAGATGTCAAGATTTCGTCAAATTTCCAGTGAAAATACACAACGACTTCACACGTGATGATATCCCACCCCACATGTGAAATTTCGGGCTATGTTTTGGGCGTTAGTAGATAGGTTTCACGGTATCTTTTGTCCAAATTTTCACACAGTTCGGAAAATAGAAGAACCTTTATCAGAAGAAAAAAAAATATCCCAATTTTGATTTTCGTGAGCCCTACATTTGTTTAAACGTCTTTCTTTTTGTGCATCTTTTATCAATGGCCAGGGAATTCCGCGCCTTTTCACCCGGTTGCGTCTTTGTAATTCTTGTCTCGGGTTTCATTACACACCTCTATTAATCATCTTATTTCTGATATTCCTAACGCTTTTCAATTTCCCCTACTCACAATCTGACCAAGGCTCAAGATGTCTTGGTTTGGCGATCGGAAGTACTGAACTTCCTTGCCCTCCCTGTCCTGTCTTGTGCTCAATCCGAACTCCTGACTGAATATTCTTCAAAGTTATGTTTTCTGTAGACAGAAGAATGTCACCAGCTAACTCTTTTGCATTGGTCACACCCCTTTCAAAATCATCTTGAACCAGCTTTCTGTTCTCTTCTGCTGTCAAATCTGCCGTCAAGAAAGCCGTCTGCTACACCAGGGGAGATAACTCTTGATATAGTAAGGTTCATTCTTAAGCCTACAAGAGTTGCTCCCATATTGAGTACCTTACTACATAATGTAACAACTATTTTAAAATTTTATTATCTGTATTAGGAAACGAATATTTTGTCAATAATTTCTGGGAAAAGTGTACAGGATATAGTTACCTTTCCTCCAGATTGGGTATCGCCCACCACACTTATCAACTCCAGGAGCATATTCCAGCAGATGTCCACCATCAGATGCATAATATTTAAACTGAAGACCTCTGTCATCCATGACAGATCCCCGACTAAAAAACGGCCATCGCTCATCAAGCTTGTTTATCATTCTTCGACGGGCGCAGAACGCTGAAAAAATACGACGGGCGCAGAAAAAATACTTCTGAATATAATACAGTATATCATCTGTAACATGACATAGCTTTGAAGGATTTGATCGCTAATTCCTGATTTGAATTGTTTGAGGAAAGAACTCTTAACAAAATGGTGATTCTGATAATTGCATGGATTGATGCAAATATTAAAATAACTATTTGCTTACATGTGAGGTAAGGTGAAATTGGATTTTACGTCGTGCTCGAGAATATTTCGCTCATATGACGACGTGCATGTGTGTGTGTGTGTGTGTGTGTGTGTGTGTGTATGTGCAGCTGCTTGTACTAACCCAGACTTAAGCTGGTTTTATAGTGCTAGCCCACTGAGATACCATGCCGCAGTGAAGCATGAATACCCCACTCAGACACATTATGCTGGCTCCGAGCCGACCAGTCCTTGTTGTACCCATTAATGCCGAGCGCCAGGCAGGGACCAACAAGTACCCTATTTTAATGTCTTTTAGTATGACACGGTCGGGGATCGAACCCGCGACCTTCCGCTCTCCGGGCGGACGCTCTAACCACTACACCACGGAGGCGGTCATTTTGCATACAGAGCTGCATTGACTTACACTCTTGTGCGGAACACAAAGACAGCATGCATAATGCGAGGAGGAATCTTGCCACCATTTTCTGCAAATAAAGCAAACCTATAGCTAGTCTCGTTAATAACTTTCATAGGAACCGTAGGCAGAATAGAAACAGCCACTTCAC